AAGAGTAATGCAAGATCCACAGCATAAGTTTTTACAGAAATAAATAAAAAATAAATCTTAGCAGATAGCTTCTAGAAATGAGGATACGGTCCTAGATTTTATTTTTGCCAGAACAAGACTGAAAAATACTAGTTGGCTATGGTGTTTTGTATCCTCACACAACTAAGCAAAGGAATGAAACAAGGAATCCAGATTTGCAGGTCTTGATGCAAAGCCATTATCTGATGCTTTGCATCAAGACCTGAAAAGCATCCTATGTTTTTCAAAACACCTTTTCCTCTCTGAATGTTGGGTGGTGTGCATACTTAGGATGTGGGTTTTCCCTTACAATGAGAAATATAAGGAAGCTAGAATTAATTAATGAAAACAACCAAGGCACATGACTTTTGCAATACAAATCCTACCTATATGTGCTCCTAAGGAAGCCCTTATTTAGCTAAGTGGATTTACTCCTTAACAAGTGTGACAGGATTGTAGTCTTGTTGAATGAGTGTTCTTCCTTAAGTCAGTATTCACCAGACACTTTCTCCAAGAGATCCCAAAAATTGCGCTATTAACCCTTTTATTAAACAATTCCGAAAACATATTCTTCATATAGTCATGTAATTTATATCCTGATCTTCTCATATCTGATCCAAGGTGACTTACAACATTCAGTACCCTTTCATTATAACAAAATATTAGTTATTAGTAAGAAATCTTTTGCAGAACTTAAAGGACTCTGAAGAAATGTTCACTAAATGTTTTAAACTATTTATATCTTGCTTTTATCTCTTGGTTGATATGCAAAACATCTAAATGTACAGGTCATTACAAGAGATAATGTTATTGTGGGATTTTTAATATTTTACATTTCTATTTATTGCTTAAGTTTCTTTTTAAAATTAATGTCCTAAGAAGTAACCTACAAATAGCGTGACAGTCAGAATTCAATAAACAGAAGAACATCTTTTGCAGAGCCAGTAGTTAGGAGGGTGCACTAGGACAAGGATGGTCCAGTTCAAGTTCCCACCAACTCATGAAACATGTTTGATCCCAGGTCACCCAACAAGTTTCATGAGTTGGTGGGAACGTGAACCAGATCCTCCATATTACAGTGTACCTGCTCTTAGCTGCACTTAATTGGCAAGAATGTTATGAGGATAAAAGTGAGGAGGAAGAAAGCTATGGAAAGGTCCCTGGGATTTCTTTCTCTATAAATGAGTTCCAAAGAGTTCATACAAAGCAAGTGATTACACAAATGTTTACAGTAAAACCTCATATCTGATCCACTTATCCATTTATAACCTTCTGTACAGGCTACATCCTCTTCTTGGTACTTCTATCATCTGTCTCATTGAGAATAACACAGTGGGATATTATCTGCAGCTTCATCAATCTATATAAAATCCAGGAATATATCCCCCATATATATCCCCTATGGCCATACTACATTTGTGGTCTCCATTATCTTCTTCTTCTTCCCAATTCTCTAGAGCATCTAAAGTTGCTTGTAGCACCTGGATAATCTAAAGCAACTCCCCTAAATCTTGTTAGTTTTCATGAATGAAAAGTTCAGCTAACCTTCCACATTTGTTAGGGGCACAAGATCCCCATGAAAGTGAAGAATTGCAAATTAAGAGATTGCCCCTTTTTTTAACCAGAGAGAGCATCTCCCTAGGAATTTCTAGATCTTGACTCTAGTCAACTTTTACTGACAGCTGACCATAGCACCACATTGGAAGACCTGCCAATTCTAAGACAGGATATTTTTAATCAAATCCATAAATAATCAAATCCACAAAAGTTAAATCCACAAATGTGGAACGACAGCTGTCCAAATATCTGTGTAGGAAGAAGCGAATTCTGACCAGAAAACTTGACAGAGAAATATTTAAACATTCCTTCTTCAACACCAGTTTCTCAATAAAGGATCAGAACACCTAGTAGCTATAATGAACTTATGATTTCAAAATTATTTTTCTATGTTCTTCACATTTCTAATGAATATTCTTCATGCTGAAAAGTAGACTGTGGAAATGGCATATATTTAGCTTTATATAGATAGATAGATAGATAGATAAATAGATAGATAGATAGATAGATAGATAGATAGATAGACAGACAGATAGATTATTTTAAAATACAGAATGATGTTATTGCCCTAGCAGCTTTCTTATGTTAAACTCTTAAAATGAAAACAAAGTTCCAGAACAATGTTTTAACTGGCTCACAGATGGGCAAGGGAATGGACAGAACTATAGGAATTGTGACGCAAAAATATTTATCATTAAAGAGGCATTGTATTTTACAAAACAGTGACTATGTTACGAGGTAAATAAAGAGCATAGCAGCCAGTTTTGTAGCCATAACAATTCTTCATTTATTGTACTCAGAATATCCACCTTAAATAGATTTTTCTTGTACTGGGAGGAATTAATAGAAATGAACAGCAACACTGTCAGAATGTTAACAAACTGGTTAACTTTTTGATGAACAGGAGGTGCAGCAAGATAAATGGCTACACACTGCACATTACTTTCAACAGCATTCACTCTACATGTTTTTTTTTCAAGGATCTAAACTATCTTTACTAAGGGGCATTCAGGTGATTGGGAGGCAGGGATTCAGACTATTCATCTAAGCAAGATGAAGAGGTGCAAACGTTTCCTGCAGGAAGTGCTAATTTGACATTATTAGGTTAGATAGCATGATTATATAGAACAACAATCACCTCAAATGTATTAACACATTTCAGTGGATACGTTTAAAAACAAAGTAATTCAACTGATTAACCAGCACAATCCTAAATAAACAGTTCAGTCTTCTTTCTATTTTATTTAGCACAAAGCTATAAAAATAGGAAAAGGGTTATGAAACTGAACCAATTAGTGGCTCACATAGGTTTCTCTACATACTATGAATACTGAAGGAATGAAGCTTCTAAAAATTGCCAGGATGTATTCTTGACAAAAAGGAAGTAGTTTACTATAGAAATAACAGCAGTGCGGTGAAATAATCCAAAACTACTATCATAAATAAGAAATTAAAAATTATGGAAAAATGCATATTCTGTAGAACAAGAAAAAGTAGCTTAATTCCAATTCATACAACTAAACAAATAATACTGTACATTTATAAATAAATGAGCCTGATATCAATGGCTGGGAAATGTTCCTCTTGAATCATTCTGAATCATAATAAGAGCCTTAGCTCTTAAAGAATTAGGGAGAGTTTCACAAGGAGATAAAGTGTAATTCATTAATGTGCTGAGTAATGAGAATGCTTGATGCCACTTAAGATAAGCAGTGGCCTGTTGTGGCAATCTTGTTTGATTCTGCAAAAGTATTCAATTTACAAAGTACAGTAGCTTTTTCTATCCTTACCAGTTGCAATTAAAGCTCCATCACAAAAGCCATTTGTGGAAGAAATATTTGTCAGTTCTTTCAAAGCACATTCAGATGTCTCACTACAAAATCCAATGACTCATTTTATTTTCTGTAATCCTATCTTGGGAATCTTGGGAATCTATTACCTCTGAGCAGTTTATCAAGTTCAAATCTAACATATAAAAAGTTCCCTAAGTTCAAAATCCATATCTAACACACAAGACACTATAAACCATCAATGAAACTTAGCTCATTGATATACAGTAGCTACAAAATATATAACCACCTTTAGTGATACCGTATAGCAGTATAAAGCATTAAATACAGATATGTCATGAAAATCTGTATACTGTAGGGAAAGTCAAAAAGGAGGAGAGGATCAAAATAGAAGGCAAACAGTCACACCTTCAAGTAGTAAAATCCAGCCATGCATGTCCATCTACACTGAGTTTCATCGACGACAATACCCTTGTCCAGCATTTCTCAGTAATACAACTACTACTGCAAAAATGACTCTGAAAACACTTATCTGCAACATGCAGAATTTAATCTAGAAAGTGATAAAGATCTTTTTTAGTATACTGTCTTACTTAAGACTATTGATTTCCATGAGAACTAATTTAGTGTCTGGAACCAAGCCCATACACTTTCATGGACACAGACCAAACATAGCCTGCACATACACTTTTAAAGTGCTCAATTAAGGTTTTATTTACATGTCAAGACATATAGGTTATAAAAAACATTTTTTCTGATCTGTGTAGGTTCCTCAGTAGTAAAGAAACATATGACCAATGTGTACACTGCTAAGCGGAACGTGAATTCAGGGATCAGTCTTACCCTTTCATGTGCTTCCTATGAGATGTTTCCTTCATCTCCTCTTTCTTTCACCACTACAATTTTATTTATTTATTTTAAGTACCATGTGCTCATGCATTTATTCTTTCATTTATTAAAATTTACATGTTAATCTTTCAGCAAAATGATCAGCTTAGTAAATAGTCTATGATCTATAGTAGTTTATGTGAAACTTGGTTTATGCACCCAGCCTGATGCTTTTAAAATAAGTTGTGACAGGAAAGGGATTGCATAATGTTGTTTGCAAGGTAATCACTTAAGAATAGTTCTCACAGAAGAATAGATATAACAAGTGCCCTCCTTTCATGCTGATTTTTCACCATGACACAATACTTAAACAAGTAAGATGAATAACTAGACCGGAGAAGTTGAACATCTTCATACAGTACAATCAAATGTAGCTCATAGCATGCTAAACTGAATTACATTCTTGTTCCCCTATTTCAATTGTCAAGATCCATTCAAAGAAGGGGGGGGGGGGGGGAAACACAGTGCAGCCAAATAATTTATTTCCCTATTTCTAAAATGTACTTTTCCATATATTGTTGTACTTTTACATGGAGCTGAACCCTGAAAAAAGCATATATTTTATACTTTATCATATGTTTTGGACTGAGATAGAGATTTTTTTTCTTATCAAAACTTTCCAAAGTCATTTCTTATTTCTAATGCACTAGAAGAAATACTAAACTATCAGAATTAAAGACATATTCAACAGCATTTTTCCCATTTTAAAAAATGTCAGTCTGTCTAGTATTTACTGATTTCTCTTACCTTTCTAAATGATGCTGGCAGTGTAGATGAAGCTATGGAAACCATTGGAATAGCATAAGCGAATTGCGACTCTTTCAAAGAGACTAGAGGCAGCTGATTCGTTTGAGGAGCAAATTTTGTATCAGGCATGTCAAAGTATCTGAAAAACAAATACAATTTGTATTTTATAAATGATAAGCACAAAACAATGTTGGTGAAGCTGTACTGTCATGTTTATAAAAATCTGTTAGAAAGACCATAGTGATTATTGTTTCAAAAAATTCAGAAAATGAAATGAAATAATTGTATGGCCCAGAATGTCAGATGGCATTTATCAAGTGGCTGATACTTGAAATAAATGACAAAACAGCATTATTATATGGAAACCATCGTTTTCATGCAGAATGAGCCTAAGACAGTATGGATATGCATATGCAGGAAACAAACAATGTTACTAACCTTTAAGTTATTGACATTGTTAAGTTAATCCTACTGAGACCTAGTTTGTGGTCTTTCAGCTCTCCCATAATTCTTCAGCAATTATTGTTTCATTGAACCTGGCATTTGGCCTGTTTTGAGAAGTGTTTTCCATCTTTCGATGAGTGTTTTATCCTTCTTTTTCAATATTTAACTCTCTAGATGACACCTATGTATGCTGGAGGACACTTATTATTATTATTATTATTATTATTATTATTATTATTATTATTCTGACACAAAACCACAGTATGACACAGTCGAACACTTCTCAAGCATTTAGGACTGTGTGATATATTTTCGAATGATGTGCACAGATCCAAGTAAGGTGGCCTTTTGCAGCTGACAGATCATGATTTTGCTAGTGTTTATTGTTTCCAAATGCTGGTTGAGATCTTTTGGCACGGCACCCAGTGTGCCGATTACCACTGGGACCACTTGTACTGGTTTATGCCAGAGCCTTTGCAGTTCAATTTTGAGGTCTTGATAATGGCTGAGTTTTTCCTGTTGTTTTTTGTCAATTTGACTATCACTTGGTACAGTGACATCAATAATCCAAACCTTTTTCTTTTCCACAATTGTGGTCTGGTGTATTGTGTTCCAAAACTTTGTCAGTTTGGATTCAAAAGCCCCCCAATATTTTTGTGTGTTCATTTTCCACTACCTTTGCAGGTTTATGATCCCACCAGTTCTTTTTATTATTTATACTCTGCTTTATCTTCCCAAAGTCATATGTAGTCACGAAGTTACTCCTTTGGAGAACCTATATCTCTTGTTATTATGAGGTATAAAAACTCTCCCCAAATGTTTTTAATTAGTCTATTCTTGTGAGATTTAAAGTGGTTTACCACACTTCCGGCCAACAATACTTCCAAAGTAGTTCACCGTTCAATTGAAAAGAAAGCTCTTTCCTTAGGTATACAATCAGAAAAGCACAATATAAAATGAAAGAGGCAGGCAGACATAAAATTTGAATGCAAAGCATACTGAAAAGCCTTTGGAATTTGCTAGGAATCTCCAAATAGAAACCTGAAATGTATTATCTCTATATGCTTTTATATATAAAATGTGATTATTTATTTATTATCAAACTATTCCTGTGAGTGGGTTGTTGTAGGTTTTTTTGGGCTATATGGCCATGTTCTAAAGGCATTTTCTCCTGACGTTTCGCCTGCATCTATGGCAAGCATCCTCAGAGGTAGTGAGGTCTGTTTGAACTAAGAAAAAGGGTTTATATATCTGTGGAATGACCAGGGTGGGACAAAGGACTCTTGTCTCTCTGGAGCTAGGTGTGAATGTTTCAACTGATCACCGTGATTAGCATTTGACTGCCTGGCAGTGCCTAGAGCAATCTTTTGTTGAGAGGTAATTAGATGTCCTTGTTTGTTTCCTCTCTGTTGTTGTGCTGTTCTAATTTTAGAGGGTTTTTTTAATAGGTAGCCAGATTTTGTTCATTTTCATGGTTTCCTCCTTTCTGTTGAAATTGTCCACATGCTTGTGGATTTCAATGGCTTCTCTGTGTAGTCTGACATGGTGGTTGTGAGAGTGGTCCAGCCTTTCTGTGTTCTCAAATAAAATGCTGTGTCCAGGTTGGTTCATCAGGTGCTCTGCTATGGCTGACTTCTCTGGTTGAAGTAGTCTGCAGTGCCTTTTATGTTCCTTGATTCGTGTTTGGTGGTCCCTATGTAGACTTGTCCACAGCTGCATGGTATACGGTAGACTCCTGCAGAAGCGAGAGGATCCCTCTTGTCCTTTGCTGAACGTAGCATTTGTTGGATTTTCTTGGTGGGTCTGTAGATAGTTTGTATGTTGTGTTTCCTCATCAGCTTCCCTATGCGGTCAGTGGTTCCCTTGATGTATGGCAGGAACACTTTTCCTCTGGGTAGATCTTCGTCTTTACTCTCGTGGCTTGTTCTCGGTCTTGCAGCTCTTCTGATGTCTGAGGTGGAGTATCCATTGGCCTGTAGAGCCCAGTTGAGGTGGTTCAGTTCATCTTGAAGGAGGTGGGGTTCGCAGATTCTTTTTGCACGGTCTGCCAAGGCTTTAATGGTGCTTCTTTTTTGACTTGGGTGATGGTTGGAGTTTTTATGTAGATATCTATCTGTGTGTGTGGGTTTTCTGTAGACGGTGTGACCCAATTGTTGATCTGGTTTGGATGACTAGGACATCTAGAAAAGGCAGACTTCCTTCATTTTCTTTTTCCATGGTGAATTGGACGTTTGGATGGATGCTGTTAAGATGGTCCAGGAACCTGTTTAGTTCTTCTCCTCCATGGCTCCAAATGGTGAAAGTGTCATCCACATATTTGAACCATATAGTGGGCTTTTTTTGTTGCTGTTTCCAGAGCTTGTTTTTCAAAGTGTTCCATGTAGAAATTAGCTACTCCATCTTTCTGTTCGTAGAATTCATTGTCCCACTGAAAGTAGCTGGTGGTGAGGCAATGGTGAAACAGAGCTGTGATATCTTCTGGGAACCTCTGATTGATTAGTGCAATGGTGTCTGCTACCGGGACCATGGTAAATAGAGACACCACAATGAAGCTGATCAGTTTGTCGTTGGTATTTAGCTTGAGATTGCTGATTTTTTCTATGAAGTGGGCTGAATCCTTGATGTAGTGTGTAGTGAGCCCAATATGGCTTTGTAACTGTGCAGCAAGAAATTTTGCTAAGTCGTACGTTGGAGATCAAATGGCAGTCACGATGGGTCTGAGTGGGGTGGAGTCCTTATGGATTTTTGGGAATCCATAAAGCCTAGGTGGAAGGGCTTCCGATTTACATAGTTGTTGTCATATGTCAAAGTCGATTGAGGAGTTCTTAATCAGAGTGTTGGTTTTCCTGGTTATTTTGGAAGTTGGGTCTTGTTTAAGCTTTCTGTATATAGTAGGATCCAGGAGTTTTCTGATCTTTTCCTTGTATTGTTCTGTATCCATGATTACTGTGGCATTCCCCTTGTCTGCTGGGAGAATGATGATGTCAGGATCTGAGTTGAGGTCTATGATGGCTTGTCTTTCTTTCCTTGTAATGTTACTGGGGGAAAGTTTTGCCTTTTTCAGGATCCTTGCTGTTTCCGCTCTTACTTCTTCTGCTTCTTCCTCGGGGATGCGATAAATTGCTGATTCGACATTGCCAATGATGTTTTCTACTGGGATCCTGGTGGCGGTTACAGCAAAATTTCCTCCTTTCGCTAGTATGGATACTTGGTCTTCAGAGAGTTGTCTGTCTGTCAGGTTGATGATGGTCCGTGATGTATCCAGTTCTGCTTTCAGCTGTGGTTTTTGGCGTTTCTGGAATTTTTGTTTTTGTCTGTTGGTGTGGACAGCCATGTTTTTCTCCATTTTCCTATAAATGAGGTTGTCTATTTTGTCCCAGTCCTGGGAATTCATCTTCTGGCTGACGTTGATATGGAGGTGCAGCAGTTCCTTGTCTGTGTTTGTGAGTTCTTTGCAGATGGTGTGAATTCCCTCTCGTAAGAGGTTGCGTTCCAGGTGGTCATAGATCTGGTGAGCCTGTGGTTTTTTGAAAGTCCTTTTGGCTGCGAGAAATTGTGGGATGGTATCTGTGTCTCTGCAGCGTAGAAGGAAAGTCAGGGAGCAAAGTAGATGTGCTTTCCTGGTCCTTAGTTTTTCCAATCTTCGTGTGTCTTGTGAGGCCATGCATTCACTTCAGGTAAACGGAGAAATAAATATACTATATGTCTCTTGTCTAGAATCCATTCTCTGTTTAACATGTGGCATGACAATTGCAAAATGTTTCTCACATTATCTTCTATAGACTAGACAATCTTTTAACATTTTTTTCCTATATAGCATTCCTTTTTGTCTCTATTTTTTCAAGCTTTCTGTCTAAGGCAGTGGTTCTTAACCTGTGGGTCCCAAGGGGTTTTGGCCTACAACTCCCAGAAATCCCAGCCAGTTTACCATCTGTTAGGATTTCTGGGAGTTGAAGGCTAAAACATCTGGGGACCCACTTCCAATAGTGGAGGTCTAGAACTCAATTCGATCTGCCTCATGCCTGTGAATTAAAGGAGTCCTTCCATTCACACAGAACAGCTGGTTTGTATCAAATTCTTAAATTCTTGTGTAAAAGCAGGGAGCTACCAAACTGTGCCCAAATTTTGCTTACAATTAATAATACCACTTATGCACAAATTGAAGTTAAGAATCCCATTCTGTTCTGCAAGAGCATGTATTTCATGCAAATAATAGGAAGGGGTAGGTCTCAGGAGACTATGTGAATTCTTTCTTGCTCCACCTCATGCTGCAGGGTCTTGTAAAGTATAGGTTGTCTGTCCAAACCTACACAGCTCCACATACATGCCTCCAACAAGCTGTCTATAATGCAGCATCATCAGAAAAAACATGACACTCAGCTGTGTCCCCCCCCCCCCCCGCCCCGGATTCTTCATAGTATAGAGAAAAGGCACTTGTATTGCACTTTTGCACTGAGGAGTCTGGATCTCAGATAGCTAAAAGTAATATTAGCTAGCGTTTGCTCATATTTTCAAATAACATTTGATTCTGATTTCCATCAGTTAGAAAACTACTGTACATAGGTAGATAGAAGGAGCAGGATCTTCTCATTGGCACATTAACAGAATTAGTTTCTTAGGAAGGCATGTGCGACATCTTGGCATGTATGAGCCTAGTTAAACATTAAGTCTGTGAGCCACTTAAAAATAAAAACC